AGAGAGAGAGAGAGAGAGAGAGAGAGAGAGAGAGAGAGAGAGAAAGAGCACATTGAAAGTCCTGAAAGAATTAAAATGGGGGCTTCAGCCAGGGTTTGCAGTTGTGGTGGCAGATGCACCTTTCTAGGGAGGGCCTTCCACAACTGAGGGCTAACCCTGAAAAAGACTCTCACTGAATCTCAACCCTTGGAGGAGGATTTCTGATGATGATTTCACACCATAAGCAGGGTCCAATTGGAAGAGGTACATAGTCTTTGAAATACTAAGTCATCAAGGGCTTTTAAAGTTAAAAGCAGCACCTGGAATGGAAATCAGAAAGGCACCAGTGGCCAATGAAGGTGGCACAATATTGGCACACTATTATAAAAATGTTTAGTTTCATCATTCTATTGTGAATTTGTATATAAAGTGAAGTTTCAGAACAATCCAAAAAGTTCACCTCAGGTTCAACATACTGCAGTAATATAAGTAAGAGATTATTATCAGGGATGGGCCACCAAATCCAAGTTAGTATTATTGGAGGTGTAGGGGGTGTTTAAAAGGAAATGGTAAAAAGGAATGTATGCTGAAGAGGAAATTTGTATATCCAAGTTAAAGAGACCATGGTATGAACAAGGGGTCTGTCACACCACAGACATAAAGATTCCACCCCCCAACCCCAACCCCCGAGACCACAGGCCATTGGTACCCCTCTCAGAGCAAGCTGAACACCACTACCTTGGAGGAGGAAGCTGCCATCCAGCTATGTCTCTTTCTTATCTGGACTGAATCTAAGTTCTTTGGCCCTTATCTGATCCATTTCCAAAATTAAGCATTAAGCATACCCTGCTGCAAGCGATGAAAAAGACAGAACTACATGTCATCAACATGCTTGTGCCATTGCACTAGCAACTCCTGATGGTCTCACTCAGCAGTTTCATGTAGATCCTAAAGAGGGAGGGGAACAAGATGGAACCTCACAGGACTCCAAATCATAAATGCCACGGGGTCAAGCAAAAACTCCCCAAAACCACTTTCTGAAAAGGATTGTCCAGGTATGAGCAGAACTACTATGAGGCTCTCTTGACAATTCATTCTTTAGCCAACCTTTTCAGAAGGACACGGTGGCAAATATTACTAAAAGCAGATATGAAATCTAGGAGAAAATCAAGGTTGAGGTCTGCTTACAGTATTTCAATTACCAGCACAGGGGGTAACCCGAGGGGACCAAGCTGATTTCAGTGCCAACCCCTAAGTGATACAGATCCAAAAAGCAAGGTTCACAAGTGTGCCTTGATACAGTAGCTCTCAGTACCTTGCACAAGGAAGGATTTTATCTACTAAACATGTCACACTGTGTGCTACCATGGGTTTTACTGGATTTCTGACAAAGAGCTTCACAAGAGGACTCTCAACAACTTCTCCACAGCTCATGTCCCTATTAACATCTTTTAGTGGCAGGCATTTTCATTCTGAGCATATACAGAATAGGCCAGTAGTTCCCCACCTTGGGAAAGCAGGTGTTCTTTGGCTGCAGTTCCCAGAAGCCTTCACCACCAGTTGTATTAGCTGTGGTTTCTGCGAGATGCCATCCAAAAACACCTGGGCTACCCAAGGTTGGGAATCACTGATATATAGACGAATGATGTTCTGGCCTTAGATTTGATCCCTCTTCTTCCTTCTCAACTGTTGCTTAATCATTTCCAACTTTTCAGGATCTCTCTCTATCTCTGTACATGCAAATATATGTCTGTTCTGGATTCCTGTTTTAATTTTTGGTTCTTTCTTTGGGTGGGTGGGGAGCACAACCATAAATGTGTATTGGCTTATGCACCTGGCATCTCTCAGGAGCCACAGCCAAGGCTGAATAATTATAATACAAGGCAATGTGAAACTGTTGAGTAACTGGCAGCTCTTTGTTCACAGACACAGGGAAAAACAATTGATTCTCCTGAGGCGAACTGTGATACCTCAAAGTCGCTTCTTCAAGTTTGCAGTCTCTGTCTTGGGATGTTGTTCTACAGATCCTGAAGCCTCAGTATCTGGCCAGGATGATTTTCAGATTTATTTATTTTTGTTCTTCTTTCTACAGGAAGTGCTTATCTTGAATTCTCTAGGACTTGAAAGCTTGCTTGTTTTTGATATTTAAGTGGTTTCAATAAAAGTCATTACCTAATTTTGTTTTATTTCAGAGATGTTATATTTATTCAGCGATGGCCTTGGCTCCTAAGAGATGCAAAGTTCCAAACACAACCAGGGTTGCATAAGACTGGAAGCAGGCAGAAGAATCTGAAGAACAGAAACCCCAATCTTTTCTACTTCTATGGTCACCATATCAGAAATACTGGAGATTAAAACAGAGCCTCGTGGCGCAGTGGTTAAAACGCTGTACTGCAGCTAAAACTGTGCTCATGACCTGGGGTTCAAATCCCAGGTAGCCGGCTCAAGGTTGACTCAGCCTTCCATCCTTCCGAGGTCGGTAAAATGAGTACCCAGCTTGCTGGGGGGGCAATGTGTAGCCTGAATAATTAAATTGTAAACCGCCCGGAGAGTGCTTGTCGCGCTATGGGGCGGTATATAAGTCCAATAAATAAATAAATTAATTAATAAATAAAACTGGTTGGCACATTAGGCAACAAAAAAGACAACCAGAGGCAAAGTGAGTATATAGCTAATGGTCAGAGGAAGATGGAGTCCTGTGTAGCACAGTCCTTGAGTGATGGCAGCAGGACTGTAGATCCTATGTTGGGAAGATACTGAGGGTCAAATAGAATTTCTTTTAGAAAAAGCTACGTGTTCCTTTGTAAAAAACTGAAAACAAGAAACATCTCTATCGCATGTTATGTGCCATCAAGTTGAATCTGACTTACAACAACCCTAATAAGGCTTTCAAAGTAAGTGAGATACTTAAGGACTGATTTAGTAGTTCCATTCTCCCCTCTGTGAGTTTCCATGGCCAAGTTGGGATTTGAACCCCGGTATCTTGAGTTCTAGTCTATCGTGCTATCCACTAAACCACACATCAGTATACAGTATTAGACTAAAATATTCAAAACTGGTGAGCTGAAGAGTTCTGCAGGACTCAAAAGCTCAATTGCTTTTAACATTTTATGGTCTAATAAAGGAATTAAACACAAATGCTTTGCATTTTATAAAAGGTGCATGTTCTTTCCCTCTTCTGTTTTTCATAGGTCTCCCTCCGGTTATTATATGCTCCCCTTCAGGCATGGATCCCTGCATTCTGTAATGAAAGACAACCTTTATCTGGTCTCCTAATCCCAACTCTTGCTTCGCTTTCCATCCTCCATCCCCCAAAAAGAACCTGTCCACAGCTTTGGCTCCCATGCTATTATCTTTCTCAAGCAAAAATAAAAGCACCTTAATACCAGACCTGGCAGCTCACAGACTTCCACAGATGCCTTGCATTCTGCTTCTCACTTGGGCTCTCATCCACCCACTTATAAAAAACAAACCAACCCACAATGGTTACTGTGGAAATATTTGATCCTCTGAACAAACAGAAAACAAAGAAATAATTTCTCCTGAGATGTAAGTGCTCAAGAAGGCAATGCACACACACACACCCCCCGCCGCTTCTGTCCAAACCTGTGAAGGATGCCAGGAACGACATCATCAATGTCTGGGAGGAACAAAATGCCATATCAATTAAATGCTGGCTGCCTTTAATGTCATGTTTATTAGATGAAGCTGTCTGTTTTCACAGATCAGTACTAGGTAACTGAAGCAAGGCAAGCACAGAAAGTAAGAAATTAAGAAATTAGAACTGCTGCTGTCCAATGCTCTGTGTTGATCTTGTTCTCTCACTTAATCCTGGGAAGGGAGGGAGGGAGGGGAACACAGTCACATGAGATGGCAGGACCAGAGGCCAAAACAAATGGGGCTCATCAAATACTTCACATCTCTAGCTATGAGGAAGGACCAGATATGGCACTCGGGGGAAGCCTCCGATCAACACTAGAGTTACATGAGTGGAGACAGCTTTGTAGCTGTACAGCTTACAACTATTGAATAGGACGGCTGTGTTCAGTTCCAGCCTGTCAAAGCGTTTATGGAGACATATCTTCACAATTAATAAACCAAGAGGTCTACAGGAATATCAAGTACTAACATAGATCAACCAATTGCCTAGAGAAAGAGGAGCATCTTCTGAAATTGTCAAAACATACCGGTATGTTTTGCACTTAGGAGGCCTTACCTGGAAAAGCTGCCCCCATACCACTAAGGAGACTATGTGGAGTCATGACCTTTAGATATTCATAAAGCTGGAGTGCAAACTGAGAATAACATCTGCTTGCAAACTCACTAGGTAACCTTATTAAATTGGCTTTAATTTGGCTTTGATTGGCTTCTG